ATATAGTAAAATGTGCCATTCACTCCTGAATACGCATTTCAAAACCATGCTTCTAAAATTAAAATGAAGACTAATTTTATACTACTCAATATAATAAACGTTAACGTAGATTTAAAATCGATCTATTTAGAAAAATATGTTTTTTGCCAAACTTCTTGCAAAAAACTTTAAACTTTTCAATTTTCATATAAATAATTGATTGTATATTGTTTAACGTCCCTCTTAAGAATTTTTCACTCATATGGAGACGTCACCGTATGCCGGTGAAGGGCTTCAAATTTAGACCTATACTCGGCACTCAGGGCCATTGAGCAGTGAGGGTTCTTTATCGTGCCAGCGCCTACCGTGACACGGGACCTACGTTTTTTAAGGTCATATCCGAAAGACCCGTGACTTTCACTTCTAGTGCCGAGCGCTTGGCGAAAGAACAGTCACTACCTTTGTTTACGTCTTAGGTATGACGCGGCGCCGCGAACGAGAATCGAACCCGGGCCTCCCGATCTCATATAAATGGAAACATTTTCATTGCAACGATATATATATATATATATATATATATATATATATATATATATATATATATATATATATATATATATATATATATATGGAAAGCACATAGATATTCACTTTTTACATGGATACCCACTTCCGCCCCGTCCCGGGGTTGAACTCTCGACCTTCGGAATCTGTCTCCTAGCAGTACACAGTACAGGAACAGTGCGCTAGACCGCTCGGCTATCTAGACAAGTCAAAAAACTTGCTTTCGATGCCGATGGAATTCTTGCGGCTCTGCCTTACACTACACAGTCATTGAGAATAGAAGTGAGATACGGTTATTTGGACATTAGTTTTAACAGAGGATTGCTACCAATACATGTTGTAAAGAAATTAATTATTATTTATAAAGCACACTTTACAACAACTCTTAAACTAACATAACTGCCCTAAGTGAAGAAGTATTAATATAGAAAGCACAAAGAAGTTCACTTTTTACATGGATACGCACTTCCGCCCCAGTCTGGGGTTGAATCCTCGGAATTCCTTCGGAATCTGTCTCCTAGCAGTGCAGGAACAGCGCGCTAGACCGCTCGGCTATCTAGGCAAGTCAAAATACTTGCTTACAATGCCGATGTCCAAATAACTGTATCTCACTTCTATTCTCAATGACCGTGTAATGTAGGACAGCGCCGCGAGAATTCCATCAGTATCGAAAGCAAGTTTTTTGACTTGCCTAGATCGTCGAGCGGTCTAGCGCGCTGTTCCTGCACTGCTAGGAGACAGATTCCGAAGGAATTCCGAGGAGAGAATATATTTCATGTTTTTCAAAGTCTTTTCAACATCATTATACCTAATTTCTTCATAAGATATTGGGTGAATTTGAATAAAAAAACTTTACTGTGAATTAAATAAGTGAAATGTTTTCTGTTACATGTATACATCTTACCGATTTTCTCCTCTTCTGAGAAGTTTTAACTCACCAAGGATTTTTATCCAAGTTGAAATTCGTCTATAAATCCCTGTCCAAATGGCAACTTCTTCTGTGTTATTGACTTGCTTAGGAAAATCTTTTGACAACCTTTCATTTTGTAATATACATTGATTTTGCGCGTCAAACCAACTCCATAAATTTTGTTCACTCAATAACATCCCTGTAATGAAGTTAAATAGTAAAATTATGATGTTTATATAAAACATTTTTTTTTTTCATTTCTGAAGAATTTAGAAACTATAGGAGGGTCAGTGAAATCAGCATTTAGAATCATTATGAAAAAATGATAATCAAGATCTGGAAAAAAAACCCTTTTAAAAGGAAGCATTTATATTTCAAATGCAATTAAATACCTTTTATTTTTAACATTTTCTAAAGAGGTCCGAATGCAATTTATGTCTTTGTAGATATTTTACACATTTATTAGGTATACACCATTTTTTCAGAGACAAAACTTTAAAAAGGGTTTGAAAAAGAAACCAACCCTATTTTTGACGTCATTTTCGAGAACAATTGTTTGAACACGATAAAATTTCAGAGATTAAAATTGCAAATATGCAGTTATTGGATACCAAGTGTCCCAAAACTGAAGTTTTTTTTCAGTAACACTAATCTTAAAAACACATGTCATGTTTGAGGTCCGGTCGTACCGTCTGAAATATACCATCTCTTACCAAAACCAATTTAATTTGAACTTTTGAATCCTTATACTTAAGATAGAGAAAAATGCTCATTGATGTTCTCAAACGATTTCATTTCGATGGAGCTTAATTCACGAAGTTTTTAATAACCCCTCGTACACATTATCAGATATATGCAAAAATGTAACAAATAATTTCGAATAATTTTTAGTCTCTCGCCCATATCCAAAGATGAGAGTTAGTCTTTGTATTTATGATATTTTGTATTTATTTAAAACAACTGGTCCCTGGCATGGAGCGGCAACGCAGTTTGGCACAGTAGTACTAGACGTCATGAAAGTTAATTGCTTTCCGCAACATCGGACTTTGGCGTGTCAAACTATCGGGGTTCGACGCAGACCATCGAACGTTGGTCTGACCATTGGACTTCGGAATCCCATCGCATTTTGAAGTCCTATAAATCTATATATTTTATATTTAGCGAAAATTGATTTCTGAAAAAAAAGCGTATAAGCATATAAGCACAGCTTAATTTGATGCATTTTTGAATGTTTTTTTTATAATGTGTACATGTGTATAACAAATTTCTTTCTACTAAGGACAATAAAAATTCTTATGTACATATAATATGTTAGCAGAATTTTTACAATTCTAAGAAAGTGGTATTTTTTTTAAAGAAAAGGCAACTTCTTAAAGGTGTTTTAAAAGTTTTATACATGTACTTTTTTACTCATAATATAAGTTTGAGGGTTACATGTACATCTACCAAATTCTTGGTTGATCAACATACATGTACTTGCATTCAGTATCTTATAAACTTAAGGCAAAAAACATTCAATTTTGTCATTTTGTCAAGCAATATATTTCTTTACTGAAGATTTTTTTTATATAAGCGAGATCATTCCACTTTATACATTATGGAGATCTCAAAAATATATATCCAGCATTTAATATTAAAAAATAATTAGAATTTTACATTCAAACACAACTTCTGTATACACTAGATTTATTGATTTAGATAAAAATTACCTTCGCCCATTAAAAGAATGTATACTTGGCAGGCAAGTACAAAATACGTCAGTTTCATTTCTTTACATTTACTACTTCCTTGTTGTGATTTCAAACATCCCAATCTGATGATGACTCTCTGTATTAACTGTAATATTTGTGTGCCTATAGAGAAATAAACATTTGTAATCGTAAAAATATTAAATAAATATTTAAATTGACGAAAGAGAATCCGAAATATGTTACAATCGCAGAAAAAATTAAGTTGGTTTATTTCGCAAAGAGGAGTCTTTCACAAGTGCTACATGTAAAATTCAGCTTCAAAAATCAGATTTGGAAAACAGTACTAAAATGAAACTTCTTTACCTTAATCTGTAATCACAGTATATTATATGAAATACTGTTGCTAAGTCTGCAGTAAGGAAACAGAAAAAAACCTTTCCTTTCTTAAACATATATATACTTCTTGTACGTAGTTTTCGTTTAAAAATCACCTGATATGACAGTGATTATACAGTTCCGGTTGTGCAACTTAATATGGTCGAAATATTCGTTAATTCAATATACGTAACGTCTCATGCATGTAAAATAATAACGACAATCACATGTTGAATTTAAAACGTTTAACATACCTGAATAAACAAGGAAACTTATCTTTGTTTTGTATTTTACAAGCTGTGTATCATGGAGTTGATTAAGCCTAAACAACACTGATGTGCCGTGAATTTGTCAATCTGATATTTGTTATAAAATCGAAAATTTTCAACATTCAGAAAAATCTTTTAAAATCAAAACATGTTATAATCAAAGTTGTCATAGATATCAGTGTGTCCCCTGGTGATGATGTGTATATATGATGGTTTTGTGAGTTACATCTCTTTATCTGTTACTTTGAAACCAATATTTTATTCTGGGAGTAACATGAGAAAGACCTACCAGGGAATTCGAATACAATGTGTTTGATAACTAGAGGACTGCACTGAGAACATCGCTGATAAAATCCTTTCAAATGCACGAATTCAATTCTTCCTTATTTATTTACACAATCATCGACACGAAAAAATAAAATAAGTTTAACCATAAATGTTTATCAATTATCAATTACTGAGAGAAATAAATCATCTCATGACATTATAGTAAAATAAACTTTATTTCTACCAATTTTAAATTATAAATTTCACATCAACTTCAAAATTTTTTGACGATATTTCTTTTCAAGAAGTTATATTGATCTATTTAATAAAATGTAGGATTCTTTAGTAATGCTGAATCAAAATCAGACCCTGGTTCTTTTTTATTTCTCATTTTTCCGTAGTACCCAGGTCAATCTCTAGGTAGATGAAAAAAATATCAGTTTTACAAATTGTTTTTATTATGTGATTCTATCATTTTTTTTATCTTAGAAGAAGATGTCTGTTTTAATTCTTAAGAAAAAAAATCACAAATGATATTGCTATAGATAGTTTTCGATAGCCTGAATTTAGCAAGAGTTATTTTCCGTTGGCCGCCATACTGGATGTCCAAATGCTTCTATTCCTTTATCGTTCAACCAATTTCAAATTTTTTTTATTTGCTTTTTGAATTAGGGATCATTATTTTTCTGAAGTATATAAATTTATGGAAGCCTCCTTTATTTGAAAAAAAATTAAGATTTTCCACCAAATATTTCTGTTATACCCTCTTAAACTTGGGGAAAACTCTTGCTAAATTCAGGCTTATCGAAAACTATCTATTAGTCTTGTACCTTATTAATCAACAAGAGAAAATTATTACAATTTATTAATCAACTATAAAGAATAATTATGATGTTTTATTTTTTGTCTTCGTAATTTCTAATACGTGACATATGCCCAAGTGATCATACGTGAATCCAGATAAGTTTTCTTCACAAATACATGTATCGCCAAACAATATAGGCCCCTTTTTAACTGAAAAAAACCACCGATACGTATTTCGTTAGTGTCCGCTCCGTGACTTTATATAAAGTCTGGAGTAAGTGTCCTCCATCTTATCGACTTGTTCACCATGCTGTCCATAATCTGAGTAAGACCCGGCATGATCATATGTAGCCTCCTCTTCTTGAAATTTATCCTTTGATTTAACTCTATTACCAATATCATATACCCCATCCTCTGGTTCAGCAGCAAAATGGGCGTGATCATAGACATTGTCGTTCTTGTTTTGTTTAGTTTCCTTATCCCCGAGATGATCATAGACGCCATCCAAAGTTTCCCAATATGATTCATCTAAATTTTTCACGGGATTTTCTTGTGTGATAAGATGTTTTGATAAAGGTTTTTGTTTAGAATTATATTCAATGATAGCATGGTCGCCATTTACGTTTGCATAACAATTTTCAGTAGGATTTGAACGTTGAACATTGTTCTCATTTTCTTTATTTTTTCGTTTCTTCTTCCTGTGTAAAATATAAATCCCAGATATTAATGATAGAATTAATAAAAGAAGCTTTGTCTTCAAACATGCAGTTTAATTACTATAGAAATAATAAAATTAAATTAAAGAGGGACCCTCAGGGGGCACATACAAACAAAAGCGATGTATACCAGATATACCAGGTTACCACCATTACTGAACAGCAAGCAACAATAAAGAAAACCAGTAACGAAGAAATTATAGTGATGAGTGTTCCAAGTTCTGAAATTAAATAAATTTGCTTTGAAAAATTAAACATTCCGGCAAGATGTAAAAGGGAAAACGGCATTTCATGGATGGATTTTATGCAGGAATATTTCAATGTCTTAAGAATCTTTACAGCCTCTTTTCATATCGTAGAATTTCATATTTAAGCTGATGATTCCCTCTTCATAATAAAAGGGTTTAATGACTTCCACGGATTTTACTTTTCAAAGGTCTGCGACCTCTCCCTGTCTTTATGTGCGTGAGACAAGATAATACCTAACACACGTTTCTCACAAACTACGGTTTAAAATCATAGTTAAAAAAGCATTCGATGAATTAATGAATATTTTTTAAGCTGCCTCTTCCCCAAAACAGCAAAAGTTGATATGGATCGGATATTTAACTAATAAAATCAACTGCATTCTCCGTACATATGTTTGATTAGATTCCCAACAAAGTACAACCAAGTCCAACAAGATGTGTTTAAAGAACACTGATGTCTATATATGGCATCGCATGGCAAATATCATACTTTCCAAAATGCAAATCAAACTCAAAGGTCAAAACTAATATAATCTGAAATATGAAAGCATGGCTTCTGCCGTTCATGACGAAATTTAAAAGTTTCTCAAAAGTAAATCTAACTTCAATGCAAATTCAAGGTTACGCTCAAGTGAAAGTTTTGTCATCTGAGAATTATAATTATATTTGACATATTATTATTATTATTATTATTATTATTGGCAAAGTCATTGGCTCATAAATGCACATGTGAGATGAGAAAGTCCTACCTATAACAATACATGACTAAGGGTAGAACAAGTTAAAATCACCAGTGCAACCGTTCAAATGTTATTGCTAAGCTTAGAGTTTGACATAATCTTGCAACATAGGGGGGAATGCTTGAGTCAAGTACGAAAGGGCTAATACTCGTATATTGGTACTCGTTGTAAGTTTTTGTTATACACATGTGAACTATGAGTAATAGTGCCAACCAATCAAAAGTTACATGTAAATTGTATACACAAAGTTGCAGGCAAATAGACTAAAGGGCAGCTAAACAGACAGACAGCTTGACAGACGGTCGACCGGACATTACAAAAATATATATATATATATATATAATATAAAAATGTCCCGAATTTTAGATATCGAGTGTATAAAAATATTGAATACACTGTATTTACAAAAACAAGATTTAAGATATGACGATCAAGTTTGCTTACCTTTAGGATTAGCTATAGATGTGTCATTATCAATAATGGTTTCAACCAATGAAGTCTGCAAAAAATAGACGAATATCAATGAGGCAAAAACTGTTTCTATTATTACAATACATCGAATATTCATATAGTTAGAGTTAAAGTCTTTTTAAAAAGATAGTCGAAAAGACGGGGTACCACGACTTTCATAGTAATTTTTACCAGACACGGAACTTAAAAGTACTGTTATGTTAAAAATTTTGAATTTACCGGGTGGCAGTAAAATTTATTTTGTATTAATTGCTACCCGATGAATTCAAAATTTTATAAAATGCACAGTAATAAAACTTTAGAATTGTCCCCATGGAAATTCAAATATACATTTTTTTCAATGTCTGTATTGCTCTTTCCCCCATACACATCGATATAAATGCAAATACAAAACATAAATACAAATCCGAAAGTATCATATCATTTCCAATTTTTTTTTTTTATAAAACTTTTTGAGCAATATTTCAACATGGGGTCAATAGGTCTATAGGTCACAATGATTATTTTGTTCCTCATCATATTGTCCTATGAATTATAATGATCACATGTTTTAATTGACCCCATCTCCAAGGGTTGTGATTTAAAGAGACCTCAATACATGTATAGTACACAACTCAAGGATGTATTTATATAATTTCTACTAAGCTTGGCTTTGTTTCTTTTTTGAATATCTTCAATTAGTTTCCCAAAATATTTTCATGTAAAATTTTGACACACCTATATTGATAACATCGTACACAGAATGACATAATTTGACAATCTTGTGTCAACATACTTACGGATTCTTTTGTAAATTAACTAAATAAAGCTTTGTAGCTCTTAAGAAGACAATAAATGAAATTAAATATTACTTTTTTTTTTTAAAATCAGCTCAATAATGTGTTAATAAAATATAAATGAAAAGGTATATTACATTGCTAACTCAGAGCAAAATTTGTGAGAAAGAAAAGCCAATTCATTAGCATAGCCAGTCCTTTCTTGGTGATGTGTACAGAGTTTAATATATTGAACACAACCGGTTAAACTATATCTGTTTTAAATTTGTAAATAGGTCACAAGCTCTATTATTGTAAATGATCACATCATATCGGCTGTATTTAATTTCATTTTTTTTTCTAAATTATTATATTATTTTACTTTTTCGAAATTTGTACATTTTATTATGAAAAGAATGCACGTTGAATAATGTAAGTAGAGCAAGTCATTTTAGTATTTAAAAGTCATTGCGCTGTGTGATTAGTTGACATAAAGTTCTATTGCCTTTTAGCTCTCTCTATATCATAAGCTGTCATGCCAGGGCGTAAATGTTTCACAAACACCTCTTTTTAAAATATCATATTTGATGAAAAAAAAAGAATAACCAAAAAGCTCAAGTAAAATAAAACTGTACTGGTTATTCATCATATTCAAGAATACAGTACCTTTTCGCAATGGATATTAGTCAGTTTATTATAGCAGTCAATGAAAACACAATCTGTTCGATTACACTTCTGACACTGTAAGAAAGTTCTCCTCTGGTTGGCATCAAATAAAACACCTGTAAATTTAAAACGTACAGGTTAAATGAGTTTTTGTTCTCGTTCAGGTGTAAAGTTTTATAGTCCAAGAACATGTGAGCACTGAGGCACGCGTACTATTTTTAATATAAATAATCGATATTTTAGATTTGTGGTCTAGAGATATAAAAAAAAACAATATAACGATAGTTTTTCACTTAATCTTCACAATTAATATTATATTCATGTTTTACATTCATCTTTAATGAAAAAACAATTGAAATACTGTGTAAGTGAACAAACAGGATGAGAGTATTGCGTAAGCAAAATATGTCTCGTACCAGGTTCCCCTTTTCTCCTTAGGAAACAAGCTCGTTTGAAACATTCACTAGGAACATCACTTACCTGATCGTAAGCCCAATTATAAAAATTTATATGCCATTATTCTGTAAAAACCAATGAGGCGGAACGAAATTCAAAATGAATATGTAACTTATCAAGAAACACTCACATTCTAAAGTTCAGCTCAATATCTGCAAGAGTTTATGAAAAAAGTGCGGAAAACCAAGTTGGATAGACTGACAGACACACGGAGGGACAGCTAAATGGACAGACAATCAGACGGACTGACAAATTCTGAGAAGACCTATAGCCCCCCTGTTTCACCGGAGTAGACTAATAATTTCATAACTTGAGTATTCAATATACATTGCATTTAAAAATTTATGTTTCTAATAGTTGATCAAAAAGCAGAAATTTGTACGTGAATGTTTTATTTTATTTATTTTTTTTTTGTACTGTATAACTGTCCTTTCACAAGGTTAGCAAATGTGACGTACATTTAATTATCTTATTTACCTATTTTAAAATTTTTGGTAAGATTTTTAACAGATAAATCTCCTATCAGATCAACCAAGTCTGATACAAATTCTGATACAATCTATTGTCATATTGTAATTTTTGAAATTTACAATTTGATTGTTGTATTTACTATATTATCCCACTTAAGCATTCAATTTTTTTCCTTAGTCATTGACACACACATATGCATGGCAGGCTTCTGACATATTTCCTTCTTTTCCAAGCATTATAGTATGTTATCCTGGATTATTCAGAGTACCGATGAAAACGTATCGTTTTTTTCTACACCTCTGTGATATTGAACGCCTTTTCCCCAATGTCAATAATGTCATTATAAAATAAGCGGGAAAATGTACTAGGCATCCGAAGATGGGATATATTTATGAAAATAGTATATTTTTGAAAAATCTATCAGGAGATAAACACGGGTTGTTCGCTTCACGAGGTAAAATTCCATAAAGCCCGAAAGGTTCCTTCATTTGTGTAGCCAACTTGTTCCAATATTCACCGATATCAGTTCAAACACCAAATGTTTGTATTTTTCCCGTTTTCTCCTAGTGTATTTTCAAATTGGTTTTTGCTGTAAGGTGTATTTTTACAATTTTTATGACATTTTAATTACTAATTGAAGTGTATAACTGTAGTTACTAGAACATGTACAGCCACGTTTCATCTAGGGTTACCTCGATCATTTCCAATATAAACTTCTTTCGCAACACCAACCCATGAAAAGTCATTGTTTGTTCTATCTAATGATTGACATGCCATAGTAGCATCGATTAATGATATATTTCCAGATAAATAAGTAGACAGTGGCCATGATTTGCACCATTTCATTGATTCTGTCCAGTTTTGTTTGGATTCTGCATCTGTTAAAAAATACAAGAAATGAATATTTATCAATGTAGGAACTTTTCAAGACAGTAATACAGGGTATTCCAACGAACATATCCCGACTTTTGAAGTCTATTTTTTGCACAATAATGAAATATCTTGAAAAGTATAACCGTATTTTAAAGCCCATTTTCTTGCAATACAATTGTGATATAAACAATATAAAATAAAATCATTACATCTTTTTCATTTACGTTTTGATTACATTTTCAAAAAAATTAATCTGTAAGTTTTTTTTTCTTCAGTAATAGATCTATTGATGTTTATAAACTAAACAATACCAACAGAAAATCTCCAAAATCATCAATGTATTAGTGCATAAAGAGTTTTTTTAAAATAAAAACTATCTCCTCGGAAACAAACTTTTCATTTAAAATTTCCAAATGTATGGCATAAAGGTCTTCAGAGACAAAATGAGGACGAATCGAAAGCGTGATTTTATAAGGGCACAAAATATTTGTCAAAAGTTAAAGTTTCGACATTGGCCTATTAACTTTAAACTTTATCTGTTAAAACACTAATTCTACTTAAAGCAGTAGCACTTTTCAGAAAGTACAAAGTATGCAAAAACATTTAAAAGCTTGAATTTTCAATTTTAACTAGGGTATGCCCTTGCGATATTGAAATTTGTTAATGACCTACATCTAGTACACGAACTATGCATTCATCACGTGACTGTCAAATGATGGGACCAATTAAACTGCATACAGTACAGAGTCGATTATACTATCCATTTCCATAAGTTTTTAAGTTCTGTGACAATAAAACAGCTCAATTAAAATAAATTCAGTTTTTAAAAAATAATTCCCTTTTTTGCACTTCTATTTTTCGCTGATTTCTCATAGCAAATCTTGACAGTGCTGCGAAATGATTGTTTCTGCGAGGCAATTTGAAACTCTTTGTTAGTCACAATTTTAAAGTGTCCTTTTAAAAAATAAACTTATAGTTTGTTTTGTTCTATGCTTTATTTGGATAAAAATATTGAAAGAAAAACGTTGAAGATGTATTTTTCACAGATTTCGGTGCAAAAAAGTCATATTCAATGTACTGTAGCACCAAAAGGCGCATATCGACAGGCTTGATTTGATTTTTAATTAAGCTATGTATGTATAAATTAAAAACATACTTGTCAAAAAATTTTAAGACTTTTAATATCAATAGCAAATTGCTACTTCGTTTAGTTATAAACTGTATTTATTAATGATTCACATCAATCAACCAAAGAAGTTTTTTGTTTAACATTTACATAAGATAAAAGTTTAATTCTAATGAAAATGAGAAAGATTGAATTAGATTTACATTAAACGAGAGGCCCATGGGCCACATCGCTCACCTGAACAAAATTTGGCCATGCTGCTCTTTAACAAATAACCCCCCTTTGCAATACTGATTTTGACCAGGCCATATCCTAAGGGATCATGATTTGGACAATACAGAATCTTCACTACCCCGAGATGCTTTTATATAAGTTTAAGCTTTTCTGGCCCAGTGGTTGTTGAGTAGATGAATTTTAAAGTTTTTCCTATATATTATATATTTCCTACATATTTCCATGTAAAATTTAAATTCCCCATTTTGGCCCCGTCCTACCCCAAGGAGTCATGATATGAACAATATAGAATTTGCACTTTTCCAGGATGCTTCTACATAAGTTTCAGCTTTACTGGCCCAGTGGTTTTTGAGAAAAAAGATTTTTCAATTTATTCCCATTATATTTTTACATCTATGTAAAACTTCTCTATTGTGGCCCCGCCCTATTCCTGGGGGTCATGA